GTTCAAGACCAATATGGTGAATCCTGTCTCTACTAAAAATACAAAAAACACAAAAATTGGCCAGGCGCAGCGGCTCATGCCTGTAATCCCAGCACTCTGGGAGGCCAAGGCTGTGGGTAACCCTCTATATAGGCACCAAGGAAGGATAGCTTAGCAGAATCCTGGCACAATTAGTGCCTGAAGAATATCTCAGTTTACAGTGTTACTACTCAGTTATTTACTTTTATACAATCCTTTATATACAATCATATATTATTTCATAGAATGAGTGCCTAAAGAATATCTGGCCAGGTGTGGTGGCTCACGCCTGTAATCCCAGCACTTTGGGAGGCCGAGGCGGGTGGATCACCTGAGGTGGGAAGTTCAAGACCAGCCTGACCAACATGGTGAAACCCTGTCTTTATATTTAAAAAAAAAAAAAAAAAAAAAAAAAAAAAAAGGAATATCTTACCACTCAGTTATTTCCCTATATGTATATTATTATATCTTAGTTCATAGAGGAATGCCTAGAGCAGACACAGTACACAGCATTAATTAAGGAATAAGCAGCTTATAGTTGGAAGAATGTCTGGAGCAGACACAGTGCAGAGCATGATTTAAGGGAAAAACAGTTATACCAGGACAAGAACCCATGGCAGCATTCAGTATCGTAAAGATACCCGCTGTATGGCAGGCTTGGGGCGAGAGCCACTCCTCCTGATAAAGGAGCTGTAGGACCTTGCTCCAGTTCTTGTGGAAGGCTGCCCTCAGACCGGCAATCCACCTTGGTGACTGTGAACTTTATCAGCTCTTGTTACGGTGCTGGCTCTAAAGCATCCTCCTATAGAACTCACTGGAAGCTGCCAGCAGGTGGCGGTAGACCCTGACAGCTTTGTCACTGCTGTGTGGCTTAAAGCATCCTTCTATAGATATTCTCATAGATAAGAGATATTGCACGCTGCACCCTCTCCACTGCGCACGGCCCACCTCCATGCCTCGATGACCTAACGGGGGTGGACCCCTTACTGCACAAGGCCTGCCACCTTGCCTCAATGACCTAATGGGTGTGGACCCCTTGTTTATTGCTTACGACCCTATCACTATCCTTAAAGATGGCTTCACTCACTACCCTGCCCCCTAACCTATACTCAATAAATACAGACGCTTCTGGACATTCAGGTCTCACCTGTCTCCGCTTACAGGTGATGTGCCACCACTCCCGGCCCAGCTGCGCTTTCTTTGTATTTCTGTGTCCTGTCTCTTTATTTCTCGGATCCTGTGCCTTAGCACAGCATAAGGGACACCCCCATGACCCTGTGGGGCCCTTAGCCCTACAGAGGCAAGCAGATCACGAGGTCAGGAGTTCAATACCAGCCTGGCCAATATGGTGAAACCCCATCTATACTAAAAATACAAAAAAAATTAGCTGGGTATGGTGGCAGGCACCTGTAATCCCAGCTACTTGGG